GACTGTGTCTCACTTGGTTTTAAGCTAATCTTAGTTCTTTAGGGCCTGAGGCTAATAAGCAGTCCCAAGGCTAAGGTAGCATCAGATATATCTGAGTCATTCTGAGTGTTCTTCCTCAAGTGCAGTGCAAGAAGCAGAGCTTGACTAGCCTTTGGGAATTGAGCCCTCTTTCCCTTCCTCACAGTGGCTCTGGTTTTTGTTTTGTGTTGTCTTTGATTTCTTGAAAGTGAAGTCCATGAGGAGTATTGCCACTTCCTCACTTGCCATTGACTCCTTAGCCCACCAAGATGCGTATTCTGCCTGTACCACTTGCTTGCAATAGCCAGAAAAGGTTCTGGTGGCTTTCTTGCCACTGGGGAAAAAGGGTTCTCCGGTAGCCTTGACCCATTTGCAGAGCTTAAATGTTTCTTTTCTGTCTTTCTGCCTTTCTTATGATTGTATGATGCAGGCAAAGTCCTGGCCGCCTCCTCCCTTCTCCCTGCCGGAGCCCTGTAAATGCACACACTTGCATTTTGAAATCTAATCTGAAAAACTCCCCTAGATAAGTTTGGGCTGAAGCCTTTATGCCAGAGGGCTTGAGTCTCTAGTTTCAAAGAAGGCCTGGCCATGTCTCTTGTTTTGCATTGGTCTTGCTTTGGACTGCTTTCACTTGGTGTCTAAGACCAAGGAAAACTGAGAATGGCTATACCTACAAATCAGAAAGTTCTCTCATCTGGTCCTCCTACTGGTGAGGCAGGCACTTGTGTTGCAGTTAGGGGAATGATTGAAAATGCAAACAGCATGTAATTTACGCTTGTGCAGAAACGCCTGGTGATGCCACTGGATTTCCTTTTTCACAGAACCATCATTTGGTGGGAGCACCCATCTGTGATTCTTGGGTGCCTCAGTCTTCCCACTTTGGCAGGAGGCTTAGCTTCTCTGGTTGTTCAGGAGTGTGTGTGGGGGAGGTGGGACTGAGAATGGGTATGGAGTGGGATTCTTCTGGGAGCTGGTGGAAACTTGCCCATAATCATCATCACAGACCTTCTGTCTCAAGAGCAGTGTCAAGTGAACTGGTGGCTGATTGCCTGGATGTGATGAGCTCAGGTTTTTCTGGGCTCTGCTGGAAAAGCTTAAAATGGTTGCATACAAGACAAGTTGTGAAGAACTGTGAGTATGATTTGAAGATGTCTCCTAGTTTGCAGGAACCCATTTTGGCTCCAGAGGGACTACTGGCTTATTTTAACTAAATTACTGATTTTAGCTCAACAGATTTTTTTTTTTTTTATTTGACAGGTAGAATTATAGACAGTGAGAGAGAGACACAGAGAGAAAGGTCTTCCTTCCGTTGGTTCACTCCCCAAATGGCCGCTACGGCCAGCATTGCGCTGATCTGAAGCCAGGAGCCAGGTGCTTCTTCCTGGTCTCCTATGCGGGTGCAGGGCCCAAGCACTTGGGCCATCCTCCACTGCCCTCCCAGGCCACAGCAGAGAGCTGGACTGGAAGAGGAGCCACTGGGACAGAATCTGGCGCCTCGACCGGGACTAGAACCCAGTGCCCATATGGGATGCCGGTGCTGCAGGCAGAGGATTAACCAAGTGAGCCATGGTGCTGGCCCAACAGTTATTTCTTGATTGATTGATTTGTTTTGCCAATGAGTTGCTTTAACCTGTTATTTCCTTAATTCTTCTGTATCCTCCCATAGCCTTTTTAGTTTTCATTTTATTTATTTATTTATTTTCCCCATAGCCTTTTAATTTGTAGCAGCAAATCCTTTTTTCAAATGAAGTGGTATGTCACACTTGATTTATAAAATAGTCCAAGCAGTCTTTTATGTATAGAAATTAGTTCTATTTTATTTTGAACTATTTTTTTTATTAAAGATTTTATTTATTTATTTGAAAGTCAGAGTTACACAGAGAGAGGAAAGGCAGAGAGAGAGGTCTTCCATCCGATGGTTCATTCCCCAATTGGCTGCAATGGCCGGAGCTGCGCTGATCCGAAGCCAGGAGCCTCTTCTGGGTCTCCCACGTGGATGCAGGGGTCCAAGGACATGGGCCATCCTCTACTGCTTTCCCAGGCCATAGCAGGGAGCTGGATCGGAAGAGGAGCAGCCGGGACTAGAACCGACGCCCATATGGGATGCTGGTGCTTCAGGCCAGGGCGTTAACCCGTTGCGCTATATCGCTGGCCTGCTATTTTTATTTATTTGAAAGAGAGAGATCTTCTATCCACTGCTGGTTTGTTCCCCAAATGCCACAATAAACAGGGCTTGTCCAAGCGAAAGCCAGGAGCCTTAAATTTCCTGTGTAAGTGACTTGAGCCAGGTACTTGAGCCATCACTTGCTGCCTCCTGGAGTGCATGTTAGCAGGAAGCTGGATTGTAAGCAGAACTGGGACTTGAACCCAGACCCTCTGATATGGGATGTGGGCATCCCAACTGGCATTTTTTTTAAAGATTTATTTATTTAGGCCGGTGCCACGGCTCACTTGGCTAATCCTCCGGCTGTGGTGCCGACACACCAGGTTTTAGTCCTGGTCAGGGCACCGGATTCTGTCCCAGTTGCCTCTCTTCCAGTCCAGCTCTCTGCTGTGGCCCGGGAAGGTAGTGGAGGATGGCCCAAGTGCTTGGGCCCTGCACCCGCATGGGAGACCAGGAGGAAGCACCTGGCTCTTGGCTTCGGATCACCGCAGCATGCTGGCCATGAACTAGGGGTGAACCAATGGAAGGAAGACCTTTCTCTTTGTCTCTCTCTCTCACTAACTCTGCCTGTCCAAAAAAAAAAAAAAAAAAAAAAAAAAAGATTTATTTATTTATTTGAAAGTCACAGTTACACAGAGAGAGGTCTTCCATCTGCTGGTTCACTACTCAATTGGCTGCAACGGTTGGAGCAGCACCGATCCAAAGCTAGGAGCTAGGAGCTTCTTCCCGGCCTCCCATGCGGGTGCAGGGGCCCAAGGACTCCCAGGCTATAGCAGAGAGCTGGATCGGAAGTGGGGCAGCCGGGACTCGTACTGGCACCCATATGGCATGCTGGCACAGCAGGCAGTGGCTTTACCCATTACGCCACAGCACTGGCTCCCCAATTGGTATTTTAGCTGGTACCCCAAATGCCTGCCCCCAAGTTCATTTTAGAAGTTTAAATTTGTAGCATTTACTTACAAAGTCAGTTAATGAATACAGTGAAGCTTTTTTTTTTTTTTTAAATTTTAATTAAAAAATGTATTTGAAAGGCAGAGTGACAGAGAAAGAGGGAGAGACAGTAAGAGGTCTTCCATCCTCTGGTTTACTCCTTCTTTAGTCTCAATTTCCAGTTTATTTCTGCATTTGAAAAAGTTGTAGTTTTTAGTAAAATAGCTTGGTTTGCAATTGTAGGAAAGTGAAGAATATTTTTCAGTTAAACTGATGCTGAGGTTTGGAAGAGGAGTAGAGGGCTAATCTATCATAAATAAAGAATTCAGATAAGAACATCCCTGAAACTTACCAGTGTCAAAAATGTTGTGCATTGGGGCCAGTGCTGTGATGCAGTGGGTAAAGCCGCCGCCTGCAGTGCCAGCTTCCATATGGGCACTAGTTCGAGTCCCGGCTGCTCCACTTCCAATCCAGCTCTCTACTGTGGCTTGGGAAAGCAGTAGAAGATGGCCCAAGTGCATGGGCCCCTGTACCCACGTGGGAGACCTGGAAGAAGCTCCTGGCTCCTGGCTTTGGATTGGCACAGCTCTGGCTGTTGTGGCCACCTGGGGAATGAACCTGCGGATGGAAGACCTCTCCTTCACCTCTGCCTCTCAAATAAATAAATAGAATCTAAAACAAACAAAAAAACCTAATGTGCACTAATCCACCACTCCCTGTCTCAGTCCAGTTGTTACTCCAGCCGTCATATTGTGTGACCACAGTGTGGGAGGGACAGCTGCACCTGGCACTGCTCGATTGTGGCCCTGCATGTGCTAGTTTAGACAGGTGGGCTTGTGCAAGTCTGCCTCAGCTCTGTAATTGGTACCCATCCTAGGAAGTGCTGGTTTATCCACTGATGGCGGAAGTTCTGTTTCCACACAAGGAAATCAGCACATGGAGGCCTCTGCTCTGTTACGGTCTGATCTACAACACATTAGAGTCTGGTCTTCTGCTGCTTTTATGTGCAGTCCAGCTCTCACTCTAGGGGTAAAGGAGAGGATATGGAAGAGTAGGCAGGCAGAAAGGAAGCTCTTGCTCACCTCTGGGGTAGATGAACGCCTGTGAGCACTCAGTCGTGGGCCGCAGGTGATGGGGTGTGTGAGAGTTGACTCAGGCTCATTGCTGTAACCCAAGGAACAGGAAATGGTTTCGGCGGCTCTCCGTGGAATAGACAGAGGGGAAGGGAACACTGGGGCATTGGCTCCCTGTCTTCTTATTGTAACCTGAGCAGTTCTGCTGAAAGTCTGGTTCTCTGGGAGGCTGTGGTTTTGGAGGTGCTAATTTTGAGCCTCTGTTAGCATAGCTCTTGGTTTCACCTTAATCATTGGCTGCCTGGGTGAGATTGAGTGCTGAGTATGCGTGACTGCTGAAGCCCCTTCTGAGAATCAGAATCCCAGAATGCATGCATGCCGTGGTGTGCTGACAATTGCTCTGAATCAGAGGATGGCTAATACTTCAGACAAGGGGCACATACATTTGTGGATGGGTGGTGTGTAAGGATAGCTAAGCCTCTTCCTGAGTCTTCTCACTCTGCCTGCTCAGGCAGGGCCGTGGGATGTTAATTTGCATCCATTGTCTTTCCAAAATTGAATTTTGAGTTATTTGTTCCCTTTTCCTGAGCACAGATAATTGAATATTGATTGCACAGTAGCGTGAATTTATAGAGGCTACTAACACATTGGGTTTTGAGCCAGCTGGGAAACCCCCTTTAGTTTTTCTGGCTTATATCACATAATCTGAAGAATGCTGAAGCCCAGTGTTTTGAGGAAGTAAGTCGCTCTTGCTATGGAGTGTGACCTGGACACACTGAAGCTGCAGTTCACTGATGTTTCTCAAATTCTGTTAGGCATCTGAAGAAGCCTCGCTCAGGGCATTGGAAAGTCTGATGACAGAATTTTTCCACGATTGTACGACCAATGAAAGAAAACGTGAGATAGGTAAGTAAAGGATTGAGTTGGGAAGATTGTCTCTCACAGGGAGGTCGGTGGGGGGACCTGGTCAGGCAGTACTTTCCCAGTGGGAGGAAGCTGGGCAAGCTTACTTTGTCCCCTTGAACTCTTGCTCCTTTTGCGCTGGCTCTGCTGGATGGGATCTGGGAGTTTTGCAAACCCAGATACAAAGGTACAGGAAGAGATTTTTTTTCCCTTTTGGTCTAGTGGAAAACCTCTTAATTATAAGAAGCCTATAACTGTCAGTTAAGAAAAGAAAACATGGGGTCGGTGCTTTTCTCCACTATTATATTTCCTGTTCTTTATATTATTCTTAAAATTTTTTTTTTAATTTTTTACTTTTTAAAAATATTTTTATTTATTTATTTGAGAGGTAAAGTTATAGACAGTGAGAGGGAGAGACAGAGAGAAAGGTCTTCCTTCTTTTGGTTCACTCCCCAAATGGCTGCAACGGCCGGAGCTGTGCTGATCCGAGGCCAGGAGCCAGGTGCTTCTTCCCAGTCTGCCATGTGGGTGCAGGGGTATGCACTTGGGCCATCTTCTGCTTTCCCAGGCCACAGCAGAGAGCTGGATTGGAAGAGGAGCAGCTGGGACTCGAACCGCCACCCATATGGGATGCCGGCGCCACAGGCGGAGGATTAACCTACCGCGCCATGGCTCTGGCTCCTGTTTTTTAAAGACTATTTGAGAGGCAGACTTTTAGACAGAGATGGAGAGACAGAGAGAAAGGTCCTCCATCTGCTGGTTCACTCCTAAAATGGCTGCATTGTCCGAAGTTGGTCCTATCCGGAGCCAGGAGCTTCTTCCCGGTCTCCCACGTGGGTTCAGGGGCCCAAGCACCTGGGCCATCTTCTGCTGCTTTCCCAGGCCATAGCAGAGATTTGGGTTAGAAGAGTTGCAGCTGGGACATGAACTGGTGCCCATATGGGATGCCGGCAGCTCAGGCAGAGGCTTAGCCTGGTACACCACAGCGCCATTCTCTAAGCTTTGATGTCTAAAGGCTTTGAACAGCAGAGATGTTGGTCTGATCACGTCAGTTCCTCAGTGCTCTGTAGAACCTACTTTTGGGTTTGTAGTCACTGAAGCGGGTTGTACAGACAGAACATTGTTGTCAGATCTCTGCTTCAGGGGCGTGTTGCACTGTGGTCCTAGTGTAGTCCTTTTTCTGCTGAGTTTTCAGCCTGAACTTGAGAATGAAAAGTGCTTTTCTCCACCAAACCTGCAGGCTTGTCTTTTGGATGTCTTTGCTGTGTGTTAATGTTACATGCTTTACTTCTGTCCTGTTGGAGTGTTTTCTGTGGCTCCAGGAGCTCGGAGGCCATTTTTCTGTTTCCCTTGACTTCTCTAGATCAAGTAGTCCAGTTAAACATTACAGGCGATTCTGCTTTGGGTCCAAAGCTCTGTTGGGATTCTGCTTTTCAGGTGAGCTGCAGCCCTTTGGCTGCGTCTGTATTGCTCCTGCTTCTCGAAGCATCCCAGCTGCTCCTGGCAATTGCTACCACGTGCCTCTTAATTTTCAACATGGATGGCTGCTGTGAGCTTGTCCTGTCCTAGCCTTGGCTTTCTGAAGCAGAGTACTGTAGAGAACCAGAGCGCTGATCAGCAAGGCATCCCTGAGAGAAGCTGAGCTCATGGGATGGTCAGGCATGTGGCTTAGAAGACCACCCTGCCTGCTTCCCTGGGCTTCTTTTCTTATTCAGCAGGGCTGCTCTCTTCTTGCCCTCAAATTGATCCCCTGGTTAGTTTTATGCTACTTTAGACTTAGAGAAAAAAATAGCGGTGGTGATTTTTGCCAGTGGAGGTGGAAGATCTTTCCCTTCCGTTAGTCTGCTGTATCCCACACACTTGAATTTCTATAGTTTTCTTTTTTGTTGTTGTTGTTTTTGTTCTGTTTTGTTTTAGTTGAAATGCTTTTGGATTTTCTTTTAATTTTTAAAAAATGATTTATTTATTTTGATAGAGCTACAGAGAGTGAGGGAGAGACAGAGAGAAGTCTTCCATCCACTTGTTCAATCCTCAAATGGCCACAATGGCTGGGGCCAGGCCAAGCTGAAGCCAGAAGCCAGGAGCTGCTTCTGGGTCTCCCGTGTAAGTGGAGGAGCCCAAGCACTTGAGCTATCTTCTGCTGCTTTCCCAAGCATATTATCAGGGAACTGGATTAGAAGTGGAGCAGCCCAGAATTAAACTTGTGCCCATATGGGATGCTGGCACTGCAGGTGGCGGCTTAACCTGCTATGCCACAACACCAACCCCTTTTCTCTTAAAATTTTTATACATTCTTTAAAATATTTATTTTATTTATTTGCAAGACAGAGTTACAGAGAGAGGTAGAAACAGAGAGAGAGGTCTTCCATCTGCTGGTTCACTCCCCAGATGGCTGCAGCGGCTGGAGCTGCGCTGATCAGGAGCCAGGAGCCTCTTCCAGGTCTCCCACGCGGGTGCAGGGCCCAAGGATTTGGGACATCTCCCACTGCTTTCCCAGGCCATAGCAGAGAGCTGTATCGGAAAGGAGCAGCCAAGACTAGAACCAGCGCCCATATGGGATGCCAGTATTTTAGGCCCGGGCTTTAAGCCACTGTGCCACAGCGCTGGCCCCAGGGGAGGCCTTTTCTGAAAGGGCTCCACCCTCCTTGTGCAAAGGTGAATTACTAATGATCCAGAATTTGATGATCCTGTTGGCAGGGACCTCTAGAGGCCGTCTGGTCATTTTCCCAGTAGAGGAGATGGGAGCACTGGGGGGCACACAGGGGATTCGTGGCAGAGTCCGCAGCAGAGCCCAGAGTGCTTCCTTTCTAGCCATGGCTCATTGTGTCTGGCCTGACCCCACCCCTGGGATTCATAGAAACCTCCGCTTCATCATTAGGACAGACTGTCGGCCTGCTTTTGTGGAATTTTAATGAGGTGCCATGCAGCTTCAATCTGAGTTATAGGGGACTAACAGCAGTGTCGCCCTCTCTTTGCTGCAGTCTTCTTAGAAATTGTTAGCGATGGTGTTTCATGGCTAGTGGGTCAGGTCAAAGTGACCAAGTGGGAGCATGCCCAGGATTATGGGCAGAGACCCCTAGTTGTTGCACTCTGACCGATGCTGTGAGCAGCCTAAGGATGAGGAGAACCATTTCTAGCTTGTGATGTGTGGCTGCTCTGGACAGCTCTTGTGAGTGTTACCCTTACTTGTTTTTTTTAATTTTTTATTTTTGGTGCTGTTTTAAATGGAAACCAATCCAAATAAAGAGAGTTTGCCATCTTGAATTCTCTTGCATTTTTTCTCTTTTCTTTGTGAGGTTAGTCTTGATCTTTTCTTTATCTGCACACCAGTTTAAATATGAACTTTGCCAGTGAAAGTTTTACTGAGAAAGAAGTATCCATAGCAGAGTTACTTGCTTTTTAATGGCTAAAAACACTGTTAGCTTTGGTGGTCACCTCAGAGACAGAAAAAAAAAATGGGATTTGTTCTTTCTCTTTCTTAAATAATCAGCCGAATTCTATGGTTGGTTTTGACTCCATTTTCATTATCTGGAGAGGGGTGTGTTTAAAAGTACGACAGCCCTGGTGTATGTTAGCTTCGTGTATGTTCACAGTCTTGCCGTTTTGCTTTTTCCAGAGGAGCTTCTTAATAACTTTGCCCAGCAGATAGGAGCCTGGAGATTCTGCCTGTACTTTCTTTCCAGCACCAGGAATGACTATGTAATGATGTACAGTTTAACGGTTTTTGAGGTAAGTAGATCATTTGTACTCTTCTGAGAGGTGTTTTCTAGCCACAGGGCCGTGTCATGGCACCAGCTTTAGCTTTGCTCTGCAGACACCTGGGAGGTGGGGCTGGCTGGGCTCTGCGGCCTCTTCCCGCACACTGCCCTTGTCTGCAAGTCTGCTGTTGCCAGGCACTTTTCCCTCTTCGCCCTAGGAAAGGCAGGTGGGTGGTCACCTTTAGGGCTGGGTAGGTGGGTTGCTGTGGAAACATGTACCTGTTCTCTCCCTGTTACCGGGAGGAGGGGACGATAGCTTTAGTTATCATCATTCCCAGCCACAAAGACTCTTGCTTCTATCAACTCCCTTCCATTGCTTGTCTTCTGTGTATGCTTTAAAAAATTCAAAGTTATAGTCATATTGCTTGTGCCATTTTGTATTCTCCCCACCTCCAACTTAGCTTTATGTTCCTAAAAGTGGTGGTATCATTGTACACCAGGCCATTCTATTTTTGGACGATATAGTTATTTCTGTTGTTGATTTCTGGTGGTCACTAGAGGCTGTGGTTAATGGAAAGTTTTTGTCCATAAAGCTTTTTGTCTCTGCTGAATTATTTAGCAGATCATCCTAGGGCTGGACTTGTGTTATGGGTTGGAATATTTTTATTATTCTTGTTGTCAGATTGCCCTAAACTTATTTTATTAAATTTATTGTTTATTGAGGTGATATAGCTAATTATGGGATGAAAATCAGTTATTTTTGTTTATATAGATTTATAATTTAAAAGATATATATTTTTTTCAGAATCTGATCAATAAAATGTGGCTTGGGGTCCCATCTCAGGATAAGATGGAAATCCGTGGCTGCCTGCCCAAACTCCTGCTGGCTCACCATAAAACCTTACCTTACTTTATCCGGAACAAACTCTGCAAAGTTATTGTTGATATTGGACGTCAGGATTGGCCCATGTTCTACCATGACTTTTTTACTAACATTTTACAGGTAAGGGTGTACATAGGAACTTTATCTTATACACAGTTGGTTTGTAGAAGTGATTATTTCCTTGTCTTGAAGAGGAGTTTTAAGAGTAGCATCTTGGAACTGCAGCTGCAAGGTGACTGTAGGGGGGATGATTATGTACACTTTTCTCTGTATTCTTGAGACATGCTGTATCTTTGTGCAGTGGAGAAACATGGGTAAAACCTGATTGCTTTGTTAACCTTTTGTGAAATTCCATTCAGCAAGAATTTTTTTTTTTTTTTTTTTTTTTTTTTTTTTAAACAGGCAGAGTGGACAGTGAGAGAGAGAGAGAGAGAGAAAGAAAGAAAGGTCTTCCTTTTACCGTTGGTTCACCCTCCAATGGCCGCCGCAGCTGGTGCACTGCGGCCAGCGCACCGCGCCTATCCAAAGGCAGGAGCCAGGTGCTTCTCCTGGTCTCCCATGGGGTGCAGGGCCCAAGTACTTAGACCATCCTCCACTGCACTCCCTGGCCACAGCAGAGAGCTGGCCTGGAAGAGGGGCAACCGGGACTAGAACCTGGTGTGCCAGCGCCGCAAGGCGGAGGATTAGCCTGTTGAGCCGCAGCGCTGGCCAGCAAGAATTTGAAAGCCTGTTATATGCTGTCCCAGGTATTGTGGAAGGATGATGATAGGTAGTTTGGGAGAACAGCTGTGCAAGCAGTTATCCAGTGTTGTGATGATTCCTGTAGAGGAAGTTATGTGCAGAGTGGCCTCGTGTCAGTGGTGAGGAGGTGGCTATGGTAGAATAGAAGGCTGGACTGATGCACAGGGGTTTGGATGTTAAATTCAAGGTCTTTCCTTGAGAGCTATTGGAAACTTTTGAGGAGAAACAAGACATGGCCATGCTTTTACATTGGAATGATGACTCCAGCTCAAGTCTGGATTGCAGAAGAATGAGGTGAGGGAGGAGGAGACCAGTGAGGTTGCTGGACAGCACAAGGAGGACCTGAGGCAAACAGACCTACTTGGTGGGTGGAGATGAGGCATGTAGGAAAGAGTCCAGGTAGATGGCAGGGCTGAGGAAGAGGGGCGTCTGGATCGACGGCCAGGTTTATTGCTCAGGGGATTTTCCAGGCCAGGGGTAGAGGAAGGGGGGAGTAGGTTCAGGTAGAACATGTGTTTAAAACTTCTGTGTTCTGGGGCCGGTGTTGTAGCACAGTAGATAAGTTGCCGCCTGCAAAGTGGTAGTTTGTGTACTGGCTGCTCCACTTCTGATCTAGCTCCCTGCTAATGGCCTGGAAAAGCAGTAGAAGATAACCCAAGTGTTAGGGCCCCTGCATCCACATGGGAGACGTGGAAGAAGCTCCTGGCTCCTGGCATCACCTGGCCATTGTGGCAGTTTGGGGAGTAAATCAGCAGATGGAAGATCTTTCTCTTTCTTTGTCACTTTGGCTTTCAAATAAACAAACAAATCTTAAAAAAAAAAAAAAAAAAAAAAAAAAACTACAAAGAAAAGACTTGTGTGTTCCTCCTGTGTGGTCAGGACCTGAAAGCTGAGAGGGAGGTGCCTTTGCTCATTGGCATCCTTGGATCAACCTGGAAACATTGTCCTGCTCTTGAGAAGTTTTGGGGTGTAGGAAATTGCCTTTGTATGCAGTTATAGAACTGCATACAAAGAACTCTTTGAAAATTGGTTTAGTGTCAGCAACTATAGGCTCAGGACTTTCCAGAACAATGTCATTTTCTAATGTTCTATCTGCTCTCCCCACGAACCACTTGAGTGAGGCTGCAATTTAAAAAAACCTGAGTGTCAGTAGTCCTTCTCTCAGATTGCCTCTCAGGGTGGCACAGATTCTTCATTCGGTTGTTTTGTTTAGTGATTCAGTTATGATTTATGTAGAGGTTGATTGGTTTGATCTCCCTAGGGAGATGATGCTTTTTTTTTTTATTGACAGGCAGAGTTAGACAGTGAGAGAGAGACAGAGAAAGGTCTTCCTTTTTCCGTTGGTTCACCTTCCAAGTGGCCGCTATGGCCGGCGTGTTGCGACTGGTGCGCTGCACTGATCCGAAGCCAGGAGCCAGGTGCTTCCTCCTGGTCTCCCATGCGGGTGCAGGGCCCAAGGACCTGGGCCATCCTCCACTGCCTTCCCGGGCCACAGCAGAGAGCTGGACTGGAAGAGGAGGGACTGGGACAGAACCGGCGCCCCAACTGGGACTAGAACCCGGGGTGCCGGTGCTGCAGGCAGAGGATTAACCTAGTGAGCTGCGGCACCGGCCGAGATGATGCATTTGTTCAGTGAACTGTTGAGTACCAGCTTTGTGCTTAGCAAGCATGTGGTAAGGATATGGTCATGGACAGATGCAGAGTGCTTTTGTCAGATTCATGCTCTTGAGGGGAGGCTGCAGTGGACACTAAGCAAATGTGGACTTTGAGGCAGTTCTAAGCATCATGAAGGAGACAGATTCCAAGGTAAATGACAGAGCTCGTGCTTGGGTGTGTTGAGATGGCAGTGTTGGGGAGCATGTCACTGGGGGCCGGAGCCTAGAGCAGAGCCGGAGTCCTGAGGGTATCTAGGGGAGCGGAGTGTTGGGCAGAGAGGACATCCTGTGAGTGGAAAGCACCCCAGGGGTGGCCAGGAGGCCCGTGCTGGGACAGGAGGTGAGAAGGGCTTTCCCGGCTCGCTCCCAGGCCCCTGCCTTTTTCCAAGTTGAGAACACTTGGGATAGCTCCCTCTGCTCTCTGTGAGGGAGCTGGGGAAGCCTGCTGGAGACACAAAGACCAGAAAGATTGGGATCTCAGTGACAAGAAGCAGGGGAATGGAGACAGAGAGCCACAGTCCAGACAGCAGTGACTGAGGAGGAGCCCTTTCTGCCCAGCTGGGGTCCATCCCTGGGACTGAGAACAGAGCCTTTCCTGTCTCATCTCTAACTGATGAGAATTTGGAAGAGCAGCTTTAGGTGAAGTGCTCATGGAGGTTTTGGAAGGCCGTTTGTCTTCCTCTGGCCTTTGCCACTTCCCTTTCCCACCCCTTCAGAAATGACTCTACCCTCATGTAGCCTTTGTGGCTTGGAAGCACGGTCTAGTGGTAAGGCCCCTGGTCCTGGAGGAGCAGGGTGGTCCCTGCACTCAGCTTTCTGTAAAATCCACCTGATTTCAGTGACACCTGCCACTTGGGGGCCTCCCCTTCCCCGCCTCTAAAGTGCAAGTTGGAGTAAGTGATCCTTAAAACCCTTTCCCTCTGTAGTATTTCCCGCTTCTTATTTATGCATGCAACAGGTCAGTGACACATGAGCCAGTGCTCAACTGCTGACATTTCTGATTATGTGATAGAATGAACCTTTTCTTCCGTGTTGCTAAACAAGACCAGACAGGCTATGGAATCAGTTTTACTGTCACATGATCCTTTGAGTAAACCATCTAAAAAGTTTTTCTGGCTCAGTTCCCTCATGGTCTGTTTGCAGTCTGTGGTGCATAGTTTTTTTGTATTCCCAGACTCTGTGTTGGTTGGCTTGGTATGTGTGCAGTTTATGTTATAATTGTGGTAATTACCTTACCAGGCAGAGAACAGTTGGTTTGGAATCCCAGAAGATACCTACAGCTCTGTGGGTTGCCTATGCCTTTTCTAGGCCACTGGAGAAGAAGCCATTGAAGGCGAAACAGACCCTGATGGTCCTCGCCTCCCTTCCACCTGCATCAGCACACTCATGGCTCCTTTTGAGAATCTGTTTGTAGATTCCTGAGATCTGTTGAGCTGAACGCTTGGTCACATTGTGCCTGGGGCCAGACAGTTAAGGGGCAAAGCAGCATTGGGAAAATTACTGTTTCTTCTGTGGTTGGTTGATTATGTAATAAAAACTGCTGAACCTTTTCAGAAGTTCACTGGAAACCTTCCCCTGATCTTCAGCTTAAAGGTGTTTATTGTCTGTTAAAATAAATTGCAGAGATGGGGGCCGGCACTGTGGTGTAGTAGGTTAAGTATCGCCTGTAGTGCCTGGCATCCCATATGGACACTGATTTGAGTCCTGGCTGCTCAGCTTCTGATCCAGCTCTCTGCTATGGCCTGGTAAAGCAACAGAAGATGGCCCAAGTGCTTGAGTCCCTACACCTGCATGGGAGACCCAGAGGAAGCTCCTGGCTCCTGGCTTCAGATTGGTCCAGCTCTGGCCATTGTGGCCATTTGGGGAATGAACCAGCGATGGAAGACCTTTCTCTCTGTCTCTCCCTCTCTCTTTCTGTAACTCTGCCTATTGAGTAAATAAGTAAATCTTAAAAAAATAAATTGCAGAGATTACTATGTTATGCGCTTAAATGGTGTATGTGAAGAAGGTGAAGGGAAACACCATTTTAATGAAAAGTTGTGGATACAAGCTGAAGAGAAGAATAAGTGAGCAACCCCTTCCCTCACATAAAGAATAACTTTGTTTTCATTCACATTTTTGCCTGACCTTCTTTCCCTTCTCCCCAAGTGATGAGAGAAGGGAGGGCTTTAAGGTAGATTTTTCTGTGTTGTAGTTTTTTTTTTTTTTAAATTTCTGGGGAGCTAAGATGCATTTTCCATCTGCAAGAAAGTGTGTACTGCTAAATAGGGTACGTGGCATTAGCAGGCATTCTGAGAGAGTAAGAATGAGGGGTTGGGAAATAGGGAGGAAAGAGGTAGGAGAGGAAAACAAAAGAAAAAAGGGGAAGGAATGGCAGTTTTCAGAGTCCAGTGTGAGAATCCGGAGGTCTCCAAATGGGAAGAGATGTATACAGAGGGTCTGCTCTGCTTCATGTAGGGACAGCGAGTGGAGAGATGATGGTTTCCTGTTCCTCCCCTAGTGCATTACTGAAGTTAAGTTGGTGTTAGAAATAAGTCAGATTTGTAGGAAATGAAGAGAACAGTTGTGTAGGGTATACTTGAAGTGTTAGCATTCGAGAGAACTGATTCTGTAGGGAGCATTTTTCACACGGTGCTCATTGCTGCTGGGTTTACATAGCTCTGCTTCTGAGGGCAATTGAATCTACCTTGAATTCCATTGAGTACTTTCCCTACTCTGCGGGATGAGCTTCTCTTTGATCTGTGATGGGAAGAGTTTTCTATTCCTCTGTCTCTCTGTCTCTTTCTTTGCCTCTCAGATAAACAGAGTGAAGTGTTCCAGTTGTCTGGTTCACTCCCAAATGCCCACAGCAGCTGGGGCTAGACTGGGCCAGATTGGTGAGCTGGCGGTGTAATTCAGGTCTCCCATGTGCGTGGCAGGAAGCTGCTTACTTGAAGCTGTCATCGCTGCCTCCCAGGGTCTGCATTGGCAGGAAGCTGGAGTCAAGAGCTAGAGCCAGGTATAGGACCCAGGTGCTCCAGTGTGGGATGTGAGCATCTTAACTGTTAGGCTGAATTCCCACTCTGGAGGAGTTGTTTGTAAGGGAATGGAAAGTGCCTGCATTTCTTGAGGTGAGACTGAATGGCCTGTATGGGTCAATTTGTGAGGTCTTCCTCTTCCCTAAACCTTGTGTTTTGTAACCTGAGTAAGTAACAGTCCAGGAGTGAACTTAAGTTACTTAAGATTAAAGAAAAAAGTGAAATATTCCTTAAATTGTTGCTTTTGTGTAGATTGCAGCATATAATTCAACGGAATTTTTAGTGGCAGTTCACTTTGATCATTTCTGGAAACTTAAATGTATTAGAAAGATCCAAATGTTGTGAAAATGATGAGGTAGATGTAAATATTGTTAGGCTGTTGAAGGTATATCTTTTCTCTTCCTCTTTTGTAATTAAACCTTCTTACGGAAGGAGAAATATTATATAGGTGGTAGAGAAAGTAACTTGGCTGGCGCCGTGGCTCACTAGGCTAATCCTCTGCCTGCGGCGCCGGTATACCGGGTTCTAGTCCCGGTTGGGGTGCCGGATTGTTTCCCAGTTGTTCCTCTTCTAGGCCAGCTCTCTGCTGTGGCCCGGGAAGGCAGTGGAGGATGGCCCAGGTCCTTGGGCCCTGCACCCGCATGGGAGACCAGGAGGAAGCACCTGGCTCCTGGCTTCAGATCGGCACAAGGGATTTGCGGGATCATGACCCTAGTCCTGTGTGCCTGTTGCTGGCTTGCCTGCAAAGCTTGCTTAGAGCTGTGAAATTTAGTTAGCCTGAATGTTCAAGAGACCACAGGTTGGTTTGTGTAGCCCAGTCGCTGATGTCTGCATCGCTCTGTATACCTGCAGTTCCGTGTTTTCTGATGGGGAATACAGTTGAGAAAGGTATTGTTCGGTGATTGTGTCCCAGTAACATGTATTGACTCAGACTTGGTTCCTGTCAGGCCACAAACCTGGGCAGCATATTACTGTCCTGAATGCTACAGGCACTTATAACACATGGCTAAACATGAGACAGATTCAGTAAAAATACAGGCCGTAGGAGTTTCTCAGCTCCATTATAATCATAGGAGACTATTGTTGTCTATGTGGTCTGTAGTTGATGGAAACATTGTTATATGGAGCATGATTTGTGTGTGTGTGTGTTGATTAGTGTTGATTTATGTAGGCTGTTCATATAGGATATTTAAAAAATTTTATTTATTTGAAAGAGTTATAGAGAGAGATAGAGATGGGGAGAGAGAGATTTTCCATCCCCTGGTTCATTCTCCAAATTACCACAGTGGCCAGAGCTGCACTGTTCCGAAGCCAGGAGCTTCTTCTGGGTCTCCCACATGGGTACAGGAGCCCAAGGACTTGGGCCATCCTCTGCTGCTTCCCCAGGCCACAGCAGAGAGCTGGATCGGAAGTGGAGCAGCCGAGACTCAAACCGGCACCCGTATGGGATGCTGGCACTGAAGTCTGGGGCTTTAACCTGCTGCGCCACAGTACTGGCCCCTCATATTAAATAAGCATAGAGATACTTCACAAGTTTAGTACTACTGAGTCCTCTTTGTACTTTATTAGTTGATGCTGTGCTCAGAACTTGTTTTTCCTGGCAGTTGATCCAGTCCCCCGTGACAACCCCCCTTGGGCTGATCATGTTGAAGACAACTTCAGAAGAGCTGGCTTGTCCCCGGGAGGACCTCAGTGTGGCTCGAAAGGAGGAGTTGCGGAAGCTGCTGCTGGACCAGGTGCAGACAGTACTTGGGCTCCTGACAGGTGAGCAGTCTGGTGGTGCCAAGGCCAGTAGCCTGCCGTGGATCCCCGGAGCTCAGGTCTTGGCACTCAGCATTTCTGAGACTAAGCATAAAACAAAGAATTCTGTGTTACGTTCCCAGCACCTATAGCCCAGTGTCTAGCACTCAACAGTACCTCAAAACAGGCTTGTTAGTAGTTTTCCTTTAGTCTTTCATTACTTGGTCCTCGTTATAACTGTGATTAATGAAGTATAGTCCAGATCATAGCAAAGCAATTGAAATGTTGGTTATAGCACTTAAAGTAAGGTGAGTGATAGTCGCTTAAAATAATTTGAACTAAAGATCAGAAGTCAGAGTTGGAAGATGTGAAAACCACCCATTCCATGGTATCAGCCCATGCACCAGGTTGTAGTTGTCTGTGGTATTTCACCTCTTCTGTCTGATGAGAGCTGCCTTATTGTGTGTAATGGATGAGAGCAAACAGGAAGCAACACAAAGTGAGACAGGAAGAAAGGAAGAGAGTGGGCGGAGCACACTGGGACCCAAGGGCTGTGGCTCCTGTGCTGCTGCTGGAGCCTGCATGTTGGGGAGGTAGCACGTGCAGTGCCAGCCATAGACCCTGGAGGTGCTGTGGCCTGGCTGCTACCCGTGGTAAGAAGTATTTTTCTCTCTAGTGCCTCCACCCAGATATCTAGGAACTTTTCTCTTTTGTATATCTTCTTTAGTGCTTGACATGTGGCGGGCACTGAAAATTGGCTGAAAGAATGATTGTTCGGCTGGCGCCGCGGCTCAATAGGCTAATCCTCCACCTAGTGGCACCGGCACACCAGGTTCTAGTCCCGGTCGGGGCGCCGGATTTTGTCCCGGTTGCCCCTCTTCCAGGCCAGCTCTCTGCTGTGGCCAGGGAGTGCAGTGGAGGATGGCCCAAGTGCTTGGGCCCTGCGCCCGCATGGGAGACCAGGAGAAGCACCTGGCTCCTGCCTTCGGATCAGCATGGTGCGCCGGCTGTAGCGCACCAGCCGAGGCGGCCATTGGAGGGTGAACCAACGGCAAAAAGGAAGACCTTTCTCTCTGTCTCTCTCTCTCACTATCCACTCTGCCTGTCAAAAAAAAAAAAAAAAAAAGATTTGTTCAAGAATGAACTTAATCACGTGCTCCTATGCTCCCCTAAATCTGTAGAGGTAACTGAGAAACCCCACATTGATGTTAAATTTCTAGAGTTAGGGATCATGTCTTACACTTCTGTGTCCTACTGTGCTTAAAAATAAAAAACTGAGATAGAATTCACATACCACAAAATTTGCTGTTTTAATGTACAATTCAGTGGCTTTTAGCATAGTCACAGGTTGTGCACCCATCACTACTGTCTAATTCCAGAACATTTTTGTCATGCCACAAAAAGCCCTGTAGCTATTGGCAGTCATTTCCTACTCTTCTTGCCCCCAGACCCATGGCAGCCACTCCTGTACATTCTGTCTGTATGGATTTGCCTATTTTGGCTTTTCATAAAAATAGAATCATAAAATATATGACCTTTCTGTCTGACTTCATTCCCTTAGCATAATGTTTTCAAGATTTATCCATGTTGTAGTGTTAAGTGTCTTGAGACTAGATTATCTTTACAAACCTTTATGATGATCTTTTTTTTTTAATATTTATTTTATTTATTTGAAAGACAGAGTTACAGAGAGAGGTAGAGACAGAGAGAAGTCTTCCATCCGCTGGTTCACTCCCCAGATGGCCCCAATGGCCGGAGCTGCGCTGATCCAAAGCCAGGAGCCAGGAGCTTCTTCTGGGTCTCCCACATGGGTGCAGGGGCCCAAGGATTTTGGCCATCTTCTACTGCTATCCTGGGCCATAGCAGAGAGCTGGATCAGAAGAGGAGCAGCTGGGACTAGAACCAGTGCCCATATGGGATGCCGGTGCTGCAGGCCAGGGCTTTAACCCACTGCACCACAGTGCCGGCCCCTATGATCATCTTATATTCCAGTTTCTTTGTTGGATGTAAAACAGAATAAAACGCGATTTCTGCCCTCTAGCAATTTACACTTTAATAGGGGAGAGATAAGTAAACAAAGAATAGTGGTTTAAATTTTTTATTTTTTAATTCATCTGAGAGAGACAGAGACAAAGAGAAAGAGACATCGTCCATTCACTGTTTAATTTCCTAAATGCCCACGCATCCAGGGTTGGGCTACGCTGATGTCAGGAGCCTGGGACTCCCACTAGGTCTCCTGTGTGGGTGGCAGGTGCTGCAGTCATCACCTGCTGCCTCCCAGGATGTGCATTAGTGGGAAGCTGGACTTGGAAGTAGAGCCGGAACTGGAGCCCAGGCAATCTGATCTGGGATGCAGGCATCTAAATCACTGACCAAATGCCTGCACCTGTTTTTTTTTTTTTTTTTTTTTTTTTAAACAGTGTCTTAAGAATTATAGAAGTATGTTTTATGTGCAGACAAAATGGAGCAGGCAGAAGACTTCCTGGAAGAGGCAACAGCTGGTTGACATTCTGAGGGATGGGGACAAGTAGCAGTTAGGTTGGGATTGGGGCAGAAGAGCAGGTCAGGGGTTGAGCAAGGAAAAGACCCACACTGAAGGAACAGCGAATGGTTCACTTCGATGAAGCCTTTGTGTGCACTGGCCCGGAGGCTGGCCATGCCATATGGGCTGAGCAGGGGCCGGCTGCCCGGATGTGTGGAGCATACCATTTACTGGATGAGGAATGGAAGAAGCTTAGTGGCAGGTTTTTGAGAGAAAGCTATCCAGGTAGCGATGTTCAGGATATAGTTGGAGTATATGCAGCTCTGTGGATGTCTGCCTTGTGTCGAAGTTCCTGTCATGTAACTGACAGTTTGGTATACTGACGGTACTTCTGAGAGTGCATGGAAAAGGGAATTAAAAGAAAAGCTTACTTTGGTGCCAACATTTTTTAAAATCCATGCATTGTTTTTCTTCATAATATGCATTTTCCATGAGCTATTTTTTTTAAGATTTTATTTATTTATTTGAGAGGTAAAGTTATAGACAGAAGAAGGGACAGAGAGAAAAGTCTTCCTTTTGTTGGTTCACTCCCCAAATACCCGCAACGGCCGGAGCTATGCCAAGCTGAAGCCAGGAGCCAGGAGCTTCTTCCTGGTCTCCCACTTGGGTGCAGGGGCCCAAGGACTTGGGCCATCTTCTACTGCTTTCCCAGGCCATAGCAGAGAGCTAGATTGTAAGAGGAGCAGTCGGGACTCGAACTGGTGCCCAGATGGGATGCCAGCGCCACAGGTGGAGGATTACCCTACTGCGCCATGGCCCCTTCCATGAGCGGTTTTTTTTTTTTTTTTTTTTTTTTTTTTTTACAGGCAGAGTGGACAGTGAGAGAGAGAGACAGAGAGAAAGGTCTTCCTTTGCCGTTGGTTCACCCTCCAATGGCCGCCACAGCCAGCGCGCTGCGGCCGGCGCACCGCGCTGATCCGATGGCAGGAGCCAGGAGCCAGGTGCTTCTCCTGGTCTCCCATGGGGTGCAGGGCCCAAGCACCTGGGCCATCCTCCACTGCACTCCCTGGCCACAGCAGAGGGCTGGCCTGGAAGAGGGGCAACCGGGACAGAATCCGGCGCCCCGACCGGGACTAGAACCCGGTGTGCCGGCGCCGCTAGGCGGAGGATTAGCCTAGTGAGCCGCGGCGCCGGCCGAGAATCAGGATTAAAGTGGCCTCTAAGTTGACACAGGTGACCTTGGTGAAGGCCACTGTTGGGGGAAATAGTGAGGAGAGGCCACACTGTAAGGTCAGGGTAGCGCAATGGAGATCCTCTGAGTGGGGACAGTGCCCTCCAGAAGATGGTGGGCAGTGCAGTGGTGAGGCACGGCTGCTAGCTGCCAGAGGACATTGGGTGCAGAGAGAGATGTTTAAATATTGATGTTTGATCAAAGGTGTCAATGAGTCATTTCTCTAAATCTGATTTTCACATGTGGGGCTGTATGACTCTCTTACACTCAGTTCCTTCTTTCTTGATAGGTATCTTGGAGACTGTCTGGGACAAGCACAGCGTCACTGCCGCCACTCCACCGCCATCCCCGACCTCAGGAGAAAGTGGTATGGTCCCTGTGGCATTCCTCTTGTTCAGTGCAGCAGGGGATCTCAGCAGGGTCAGCACCAGCTTACCTACCTCAGATGTGTGTTGATTCTTCCTTAATCTCTCTTTGGCCTTATTCCGTTTTGGCCCATATTTTCCATGTAGCAAATTTTCAGCTGTTCCTCATAAGTACTTGTACTGTCTTACATAATATTTTGAACACTGCATTTTGCTTCTTCCTTGCCCATCATGAAGAGGGTGCTTTTTTTTTTAATTTTTATTTATTTTTTTTTAATTTGAGAGGGAGAGACAGGAGAGAGTAAGTTTGTCTCCAGTGGTTCATTGCCTAAAAGCAGTCGCTGGGACTAGGCCAAGCTGGGAGCTGGGAATTCGATCCGGGTCTCCCACGTGGGTGGCAGGAACTTAGTTATTGAAATCGTCACATTTGCCTCTCAGCATGTACATTAGTAGGAAGCTGGAGTTAGGAGCCAGAGCTGGGTATCAAATCCAGGCATTCCAGTAATGGGACATGGATATCTGAACTACCAAGTCAGATGCCTGTCCTGAGAAGGACCTTTAATCTTCTTCTCTTTTTTAAAAGATTTATTTGTTTGAAAGGCAGAGTTAGAGCCAGAGAAAGCAAGAGGTCTTCTATCCACTGGTTCACTCCCCAAGTGGCCACAATGGCCAGGGCTGAGGAGTCAGGCTGAAGCCAGGAGCTTCATTCAGGTCTCCCACGTGGGTGACAGGGGATCAAGCACTTGGGCCATCTTCTGCTTTTCCAAGGCCATTAGCAGGGAGCTGGATTGGAAGTGGAGCAGCTGGGACAGGAAAGGCTTTACCTGTTACACCACAACACCGGCCCCTGGCACCTTTGATCTTATGTTTATGTTGTCCACTTCTGCCCGTTCAATGTATAATTGCTGTCCCTCCAAATTTGTTACCCTTTTTTTTTTTTCTTTTCTTTTCTTTTCTTTTCTTTTCTTTTCTTTTGAGATTTATTTACTTGAAATTCAGAGTTACACAGAGAGAGAAGGAGAGGCAGAGAGAGAGGTCTTCCATCTGATGGTTCACTCCCCAGTTGGCTGCACCGGCCAGAGCTGTGCTGATCCTAAGCCAGGAGCTTCTTCCATGTCTCCCACACGGCTGCAGGGGCCCAAGGACTTGGGCCATCATCTGCTGCTTTCCCAGGCCATAGCAGAGAGCTGGATTGGAAGTGGAGCAGCTGGGACTCGAACAGGCGCTCATATGGGATGCCGGCACTGCAGGCGGCGGCTTTACCTGCTACGCTGCAGCGCCGGCATCATAATATAGGCTATGTTTTTTTTTCCTTCTCTTTTCCTCCAATTTCCTGGCCGCATTGCTTGTCCTGAGTTGGTGTGAGCCTGGAGGTATGCATTCTGCAGAGGTTGCAGGGTGGGCAGCTGCCCCAGGGAGGTACACAGGAATGTGTGAAGCTCAGGGGAAGTTCTGTTGGCCACCAGGACACACTGGGGTCCAATTGGCAGTAGTCAGCATTGGGTTTCCATTGGTTAAGAATAATTTGCTGAACGCCTGTACATATTTGCGGTGGTTATTCAATAGTGTGTCGATTGCTGGTTATTGTACACAGTTACTGATATCTCTTTCAAAAGTCAGTGCAGGTCATCTAAAAATGACTAATTTTAAGGATGGATGGAGAAAGGAAATTGTAGCTGAGCAGGAACTGTTGGTTTCTTAATGCTTCTGTTGACACTCAGTGATCACAAATGCTTTCCAAGTAGAGTACATCCTGTGAGTTGGCACATTCTTCTTCCTGTCCTGTAAAGGTTGGTGTGGCTAGTGAGAAACGTTTCCACATCTTTCTTCCTTACCTAAGGCAGTGGGCTGTTGAAATGAGGCGTCTCTAAGCCCAGATGTAGCTTGTTGTCTGCATATGCAAGTTGAAATGCTTGCAGTATTATTTACAGTTTTAAATATATCATGAAGTTTGGGGGACTGCTCATAGTATGCTAATTTATTCCAAATTCCATATATTGTACTTGGATTGCAAACTGTTAGAGAGTTTAAGAGTCTATTTAAAGTCTGTAAGAGTGGGACTTTTATTTGTACTATGTGCAACCATCATTCTTTAGGTGGATATTTGAGGCAGCTTAGCAGATTTATATTTTACATTTGAATGGTTAATGAAAGATTTGCAGAGGTTACATGGATTTAGTTTTATAACTGAACGAACACTTTTCAATACTGTACAATTTGCAGTCTTTAAGCTCTTCATTTCATGTAAATAGAGTTCACAAAGAGTAGTTCTTCCACATTCGATTTGTCTTCAGGTGGTGCAGGACCAGCTTAGCATTTGGTTAGCAGTGGCCATTTACTGTGGTAAGACTTGTTTTTCTGGGATTCTTTTCCACTGCTGAAAGCCATGTGCTTTAGTTGCCTTTGATCAGATGTGTGCTTTGAGCTAGCTCAGTTTATGCTGTGGTAGGCTTTATTTTTCTTGGGGCCAAGTTAGGGAACATCAGAACTAGATGGTTACCTCTTAGGTGTTGCCTCAGTTTTGTTTGTGAGGCTGAGTGAAATACAATGTGAACTGACGTTGCCTTCATATAGCAAAGCCAAAGATGGCATGCCTGCTTACTCAGAACTGCCTCTTAGACAGTATTACATTTTTTTAAAGTCTTGAATTTGGTTTGAGGAAAGCAAAGTAACTTGAGTCTGTCGTGGGGGATGGTGGCTAGGAGTTAAGTAAGCTTTTAAACTGATATACTTCCCCTTTAAAAAAAAAACAAAAGAATTGCGTATTCATTTTTTTCTCTTTATGATGCTTAAGTGAAGTCATCAGGTCTTGCTTCATTGATTGGAAACTGCTGATGACTTACTCAACATTTATTTTGATGTTTTTGCTCAACTGAGTATGCAGTTTAGACACCAAGTTAAGCACTGAAACTTCTAGAAAATCGTGCAGCTTTTTGACCACAAGCTTAGTTTTGTAGAGGAAGTCCATCCTGAGAGCCCTTAGGGCCAGTGAGTAAGCAGGCGGATTCCTGGCACATCCCGCCCCTGCTTGCCTGAATTCCCCTGCAGTCCCCCGTCATTAGTTCCTTAGGCTTTTCGTCTCTTTTCCCTTATGTGTTCTTTTAATTGAGCTTTCTGTCTGAACTGAGGCCAGGAACCTGTCTGAACAATTACTGTGACGAGATGTAGAAGAAGGTTTGAGGGGTATGTATGGAATAGTTCTCAGGATGTTCCGGAATCATTGGTTTGTTTCCTAACCCCACCCCCGTAGTGGCCCCTCATCTCACTAGAACAGACTGCAGTGACATGGGGTGGTGGTTTTAGCTCCTGTTTACAAATAAGGGAACGGCTCAGGTAGTGTAACTTGCTGGGCTCCCATCGCCAGTGAGTGGTGGAGCAGGGAGAGATGTGAAACATCATTCCAGGGGTTGGCCTTAACTGTGTCCCCAGTTCTGCCCTGCTTCCTTCCCCTGCCACTCACTCTGTGCCCTTGAGTGGATCCTTTATACCTTTTCTGGCTGTCCGTGTCCTCGGTTGCAAAAAGAGAATAGATGTCTCTGAGGGTGAATGAGAGCAGGCGGGCTGGTGTGCCTGCCTTCAGGCTGTGCCTTTCTGCTGCGCTTGGGCAGCCTCCACCTCTCTGTTTGATTGGACAAATGGGAAGAAAAATGTGTAGTGAATGAAACTATGTACAGACTATAGTTCTGAGTTAGCTTTGATGGGCAGTAAAAGTCAGAGTGTCATATCTTTCTCATCCACACATTGCATGGTTTTAAATACAGATCTGTGCATACACTTCTCACCGGCTGCAGGCCTTAGTGACTCGCAGGTGAGGTGAGCGTTAAATGAGGATATGCAGGTGAAGCTTTCAGTGCCTGGCTAAGCAGAGAACAGCAGTACAGCAAATGGTGGCTGTTCTTATTGTCATGGATGTTTGTTCTGAGAACCAGTTTCTGACTGCATGTGCTGATTTTTAGACCTTTGTTTTGGGATGTCTTGCTTGTGAAAGATGAGCAAGTGTAGCGTCTATGCGTGTTTACTTCTGGTTCTGTGCTCCTTTCAAGGCCAGCGTTAGTCCCTGTGCCACAGCGTCTCCATCCCTTCACTCTTCATTTCCCAGGAGCCTCCTTGAGAAGACTACGAGGGCAGTGTGTTACCTGGGTCTCACGTGCTTGAGGAAGAGTCACCTTCCTCTTCACACATGCTTTGCCCTGGAAACTGTAGACCCTGTGCTACTATATTCTGGCTTTGAATGTTACTGTGAAGAAATCGGAAGGAGACGTTTGCTCCTTTGTGAGTGTGCTTTTTCTGCCTGCATTTTTTCCTCATCCCTCAGTTTCTTAGTATTGATCACTGTCATTTGTTTTCTTTGGGACAGAATATGCCCTTTTATTTTATTGAGTCACATCTATTTTAGGAAAGTTCTCTTAGAGTTTTGATTTTTTTCTCTTTTGTTTTCTCTAAAATAATTGTACAGCTTTCTTCCCGTTTCATTTTGGATGATTTCCTTTAGTTCAGTGCTTGCGAAAAATTCAGCAAGCAAAAGAAGCCCCTAGAGAGCTTGCAGAGCATGGATTCCTGGCCCCTTCCGGTTCTGCCGCAGTGGCTGTGGGAGTGGGTCTGGTAAATTCTAGTTCTGTTGGTGCAAATTCTTGGATCCACTGACCATGTATAGCCTGGGGGGGTGCTCTGATTTTGTCCTTGGGGCCCCTTTACTCTTAAAAACTATAGAGGTCCTCAAAGTTTTTTTGAGTTACATCCATTGATATTAAAGGTAAGAAAATTTATAAATATTTGTTAATTCACTTAAAAATAGCCATGATGAATCCATTATGATTGTTAAATTATATATTTTAATAAATAACTTTATTTTCCAAAACAAAAAGACAGATTTACTGAAAGAGTGGTGTTGTTTTACGTTTCTGCAGATGTCTTTAAATATGAGGTTTAGTGAAAGACAGCTTCTGTGTCCTGTCTGATGCAGTAGCACGGATAACGCAGCCCCGGGAAAGCCCTGCCGTACACCTGCAAGACAGCAAGAGCCAGGGAAGAAAAGAACATCTTGGTGTTTTTTTGTTGTGTTTTGTTTTTTAAAGATTTTATTTACTTGAGAGGCAGAGTTACAGACAGTGTGAGAGAGAGAGAGTGACAGAGAGAAAGGTCTTCCGTCGCTGGTTCACTCCCCAAATGGCCGCAACAACCAGAGCTGTGCTGATCCAAAGCAAGGAGACGGGAGCTTCTTCCAGGTCTCCCACGTGGGTACAGGGACCCAAGGACTTGGGCCGTCTTCTCCTGCTTTCCCAGGCCACAGCAGAGAGCTGGATGGGAAGAGGAGCATCTGGGACTAGAACCGGTGCCTATTTGGGATGCCGGCGCCGCAGGTGGAGGATTAACATACTGAGCCACAGCACTGGCCCCCATCTTGGTGTTTTTTTAAAAATAGCTTTGAATTTATCAACTCCTAAAAGCATTTTGGACCCTCTAGGGTTCCCAGGCCAAACTTGAGACTTGCTGCTTTGTAATGATGTGTGGTTTAAACAATGTAAACCACAGGTGCTTATCACAAGTGCTTAGTTGTAGCACTTGAGGAGTATGGGTTTACATCAGGCTCCTCTCATTTATCTGTTCCCCTCATCTTCATTCTCCTCCTGCCCTAGTTCCCCACAGTGAACAGCCATTTTGTATGTATATAGTGTACATCCTTTTCTCGGGTAGCATGTTGTACACCCTTCCTGCTTTGTGTCCACGTATTTCAGTATAAGTAATGATGTGGTTTTGCTGTGATTCCATGGCTGACTTTGGTCCAGCTCCCGTCTGGAAGGTCTCCCCACGTGTGTTGCCTGGGCCTGTTAGCCTATGGCATCTGCATCTGCACCCCCAGCTTTTATCTGTTTTCTCTCTTAATGAGGACCCCAGGCTGTCTCCAGTTCCCACACCCGCATAGACCACTGCCTGTCCCCTTATGAGGATGGATTTGGAACTTTGCCAGGAGGGGAGTGATCAGGTGATAGGCTATATGAATGTGTCCCAGGACTTTGGAGTGCCAGGATCCCTTCAGAGTGGCTGTTACTCCTGCCAGTGCTGCATGGACATTCCCACAGCCACTCCTCACCCTGCACATGGGCCATCCTCCAGTGTTCTTTTCCCATCCCCTTTTAATTTGCATTTTCTGATTGCTAGTGAATTTGATATCTCTGTGTGCACTTGTTCCCCCTTCGAATTTCTTCTGAAAATCGTCCTTTGTGTCTACTACCCACCTGCATATTGGGGTTGTTCTTATGATGGTACAGCATTTTTCTTGTATATTTTACATTTTGGCCCTTTGTGGTGTTAGAAATTGTGACTGTATCTTCTTGGCTGTCTTATCTGCCTGGTCACTTTCCCGTAATTGTTTTCATTGATTAGAAACTCTTTAATTCTGACGTTATTGAGTTTATCCTTGTTTTAATTAACAATTGTGTTTGGGTAGTTTTTGTAAGTCTTCTTTTTCCTGGCCCTACATTTCAGTTAAGAGCTGAAAGTTTTAACTCTTTCTTCCATCGAGTTTTGCTTTATATATGGTATTAGGGATTTTTAAAATTCACTTCATGACCATATATCATTTTTTCAAAAACAAGATTGTGATTTTGGGGGGACATTTGAAGAAAAGAATAATTTGGATAAGCATGGAGTTTTACAGCTGCAAAACAGCGCCCCATCCCCACTTTTTCTGCCTCCTGGAAACTGCTACTCCACAAATCTTAACTGAAACTAAATTTAAGTCAATGCTAAGGTCATATCCATATTTCCCCCATAAGAATCAGAATAGGATGTTACTTTGCTTTGCTGTGAACTTTTTTTATTTTTAAAGATTTATTTATTTATTTGAAAGGCAGAGTTAGAGGGAGACACACATACACACACACACAGAGCAAGCGAGAGTGCTTCCATCCACTGGTTCACTTCCCAGATGACCATAATGGCCAGGTTTAGGCCAGGAGCCCAGAGCTTCTGCTGGGTCTTCCACATGAATGAGGGACCCACACACTTGGGCCATCTTCCACTGCTTTTCCCAGGCACATTAACAGGGAGCTGGATCAGAAGTGGAGTAGCTGGGTCTTGAACCAGCGCCTGTATGGGATGCTGGCATCACAGGTGGCAGCTTTACCTGCTACACCACAATGCCAGCTCTCTGCTGTCAACTTTTTATAACTGGCATTTAAAACTGAACATATTGATTTCTGAGGTAACTGAATTGATTGATTTTTGTCTTTGAAGGAGAGTACCTTAAAGTAGTTTGTAGGAGATCTGATAGTGGTGCCCTTCAAAGCCTTTTTTACTTTCAGGTGACCTTCTAAGTAATCTGCTGCAGAGCCCTAGTTCAGCCAAACTGTTGAATCAGCCAATTCCCATCCTCGATGTGGAGAGTGAGTATATCTGTTCCCTGGCCTTGGAGTGCCTGGCCCATCTCTTCAGTTGGATTCCTCTGTCTGCCAGCATCACCCCGTCCCTCCTTACCACCATCTTCCACTTTGCGCGCTTTGGCTGTGACATCCGGGCTAGAAAGATGGCGTCGGTTAACGGCAGCAGCCAGAACTGTGTCTTGGGTCAGGAGCGTGGCCGGCTTGGGGTCCTGGCCATGTCCTGCATCAATGAACTCATGTCCAAGAACTGTGTGCCTATGGAATTCGAGGAGTATTTACTGCGTATGTTCCAGCAGACTTTCTACCTCCTGCAGAAAATCACCAAGGATAACAATGCCCACACGGTGAAGAGCAGGCTAGAGGAGCTTGATGAGAGGTAATGAAAGCAGGCGTGCCGCCGGTTGTGCCCTGAGAAGGGGCTGTGACTGTGTATCGCGCTGTGCCGCATAGTGTTTGTAACCCTCTTTGCTTTCAGAATATGGGGCTTCTGGTGAGGATCAGAAAGGTAGGTGTGCATCAGTAAGTCCGAGATGAGCTGGAAGGGCTAGGGTGGTAAAGGGAACTCAGTTGAGTTTGAAAAGTGATGTGAATTGTGCAGGTTTGTTGTCTCTTCCCCATTCTCCTCCTGTCCTCCCTTCCACTCCTCTTTCCCCCTCTTCCTCACTGTTTGCCTGCAGGTCTGAGGTGGTGCAGGAACTGAGACTGCTGCTCATGCGTAGCCAAGCACAGGAGAAGAGGTCCATGGAGGTACAGGCGTCACAGTCGCCTTTCTCACTTGGCGTTGCTTGTCAGTTTCTACCGTTTGGTTTTCCCAAGTGAACATCTTGCAGTGTCTAGGAGTGTTGTTTTTATGTGAGTTTTACACAGACAGCAAGTTATCATCCAAAGATAAGGATGGTAATGTGGTCACAGGTTGATACACATCTATGTTTATTTCTTTATCGCTTCCTTGAATGGACCCTAAAATTCCCTAAAAGAGGACTCTGCAGAGGACTCTGAGTCAGGGTCTCTCTGTCTACTTCCCTTGCAGATGATGTCATTTCTGCATCTGACAGCTTCGTTAGCATGATGCTACCGCTGTGTAAAAACACGAGGGAAATTGGACAGTCCTGTTGTCTGCTCTGAAACTTCCAGGCTGATAAATTGTGTTGACTTAGCAGTAAATATTTATAGATTACCTAGCAGCAGAAGTTATATTTTAATCAGTTTTCCTTGGAAAGTTTTTTGTTATTAAGTGCTACAGAGTTAAGCTATTTCCTTTTCTTTAGAGTATTTGGTAGAATATGTGTCTAAAGCTAAGAAGGTTTAGTGCTTTTTAAATTGGGCTGTTTTAAGTTTTCTAATGTTAAAAAAATTGATACATAAGATAGTTTTGGTTCGGTTCAATGTAAATAACTTTTGTGTTATATTTGCTTTGTGTAATCACAAAGGAACTCTTAATGCCATAGGTATTTTTTTTTTCATTATTTGGTCATGGCTTTCTGTATGAATTCAAAGAAATCAATATTCATACAATTTCTTATCTTTTTTAGCTTTAAGAAAGGTTGTTATCATCATATGTTAATTTAAAAAACTAGCTGCTTGTACCACTTGTCAAATGTTGGTTGTTTTGAGTTTTACTTAAGCACAGTACAGTCATAGACACCTTGTTATGGCTTACATTTGGAGGGTATGGGTTCTCTGTGTACTGATTTGTTCCATGTAACTGTTTTGCTCTTGGTTTTATATTTTAATCCTATGCTTCCTCTTGCCCTGTGAAAGCTGAGAGGTGCCTGGAAGCAGAAAGGTGACATAAACAACCCTGTGTGCTTGCTTCCTGGCTCTGGGGTCCCTTACCACTAATTCTAAACAGCTCAATACATTCTCAGTTGTTTAGGAGCTGCTTAACCAGGCCCTTGGCTTTTCTCCTCATACTCCACTGCCTTTTTTTTTTCTCTCTAACTTTCTACTGTTCATTAGCACCTGTACCAGAAGGTGGGCAAGGGAAAGAAAATGAGGTGAAATAAAATCTGAAAGCTTTGTTGTATTTTTTTTTTAATTGGGTTGGAGCTTAAAATAAAATCCAAATGCTTGATACTTTACCCAGGACTTCTCTTTGTTCCTTTTTGGGTGGTAGGGAATTGAGTGCATCTTCTTAAAGAGCAGTAAATTGGTTGATGGCTTTGAGATCCATGTAAAACTATGTATAATGTAATGAGAAGACTGAGTGAGGAACGAGGACTTCCTGCTCGTGAGTTTTAGTGTTGGAGCCCTCAGAGGGAAGTCTCTTCATGCTCTCCTCTCTCTGAAAACCATTGATTTTAGTGCCTGTTTTTCAAGTATTTGGCCCATGGTTCCCAAAGACAGCCATTTTCCTTATCAAAACAAATTTCTGTGTATTTTCAAAGGCTGCAGACAGACACGTGGATGTCAGCCAGCCACATGGCGGCCAGGCAGGCAGCTTGGCTGCCCGCAGGGGCACAGGTCCCAGGAAGAATGTGGGCCGTGCTCTTTGAGGAGCAGTTTTCTTCTTCTCCTTTCCTATTTCATACACCTCTGCTCTGAAAAACAACCTTTTGCAGTTATGAGTTTCAGAATTGCTTTCAGCCATTATTTAACTTTTGGCTAAGGCCTAGTAAGTCTTCCCTTTGTTTTGTTGGTCTCTGAAATGTAATTTAAGAGGGTATGTCCATCTCATTTTCTAAGCACCTTTTGGTATTTAGGGGCTTAAAATGACAGTTTCTGAAATGTGGGAGTGATGATGTGCTGTGTATTTAATAACAAAACTCTCTTACCCTTGCAGCCGTGCCCCTTACTCTTCTGTGAAATGATTTTGTGAATACAAATGAATTGGGAATTCACTGTAAAGTGGAAAGAGAGAGCCTGGATTGGGCCCAAAGCCCCGGAGCCAGCTGAGTGGCCTGGGGCTGTCACTGTATCTCACTGGGCTCCATCTGTAGACTGGAGGCATCGGACTAAATAGTCTTTGAGCTTGCCCAGCTCTGCCAGGCACTTTGCTTTATATTCAGAATCACACTTAGAGTGGTGCAGGATGTGCTATGTTTAATTAGCACAGGGAGCCAGAGCGGGGAAATGAACATTAGTTTAGAAGCCTGAGTATACCTTCCCTGGATGCCTGAACTGACTTGTTCTTACATGAGCACTATTGTACTATGTTGGCCTCCTAGCAGGGAAAACCAGCCTTCTGGATTTGCCGGGTTGAAATGACTCAGTGATCTGCCCGGGAGCTCTATAGCAGTAACTCTGCCTTCACTTCATTTGGGTCGTAACATGAACGAGTTAGAAGATCTGAGGGCACTAGCTTTAGGAAGGCGTTAGGAGACAGTGTCTGAGGAGTAAAGTTGCTTTTCTGCTATGTTTCAGGTGGTAATGGATTGAAGGGTTGCCTGTCCTGTAGGTAATTGTTGCAGGCCTTTATGTTTTTAAACTGAAAATTTATCATAAAGCTGTACAGTTTCTGTGAAAGAAGTTTGGATTGAATTTAAGTCCTCTTCTCTGGAGGTGGCTGGGTTTCTTAGGTCACCTTTTGTCTTCTTGTCTCATTTAGCTACGTTGAGAAGTTTACTGACTTTCTGCGGCTCTTTGTGAGTGTTCACCTAAGAAGAATCGAGTCCTACTCCCAATTCCCTGTGGTGGAGTTTCTGACACTTTTGTTCAAGTACACGTTTCACCAGGTAAAGCACCAAAACTGTCCTTCCCTCCCCGGGAAACAAGTCTACCATGTTCATTTTTGGGAGTAAGCCTTATTTCCCAGACATTGATACAGAGCTTGCTGTGTAAAGCTGAAATTTAGTCTTCATAGTGACCCTATGGTGTAGGTACTGTGACTGCTATTCTCTCCTGCTTTCCAGACCAGAGACTCAGGCTCAAAGGGTTAGTTGATCAGGGCTACACACTTAGCAAGTGGTGGAGCCAGGCACTGGACCCAGAGTTTGCTCTTAATTAATCACTGTTATGTTAGAGAAGCAGAATGCAGAAAAAGTATGAAATTAGGACCTTTAGTTCTATTTTGTTCACTGAAACTCTGCACAAAATTATTTATGGTGAAGCTCTTGAGAGGTAGTTTTGGTGACGTTAGTTTTTCTTTTTTTCCAATTTAACAACTAGTTTGTTGAGCCTCCTGTTGTATTTCAGGAGTGAGACATACCACCTTCACAAGCAGGGCCTGTCTCTGATTTTCTAGCCTAGGGACCTGGTGTTCTGTGTGGACATATTTTTCTATTGAGGTATAATTTTACGTGCATAAAATTCTCTTTGTAATAGTACACTTCAGTGATGTGACGTGAATTGATACAGCTGTGCAGTAGTCACCACAGTCCAGTAGGCATTTCTGTCATCCCTATCCCTCGTGTGTGTGTGTGTGTGTGTGTGTGTGTGTGTGTTTTACAAAGCCTTTGGTTAAAGTATGGCACTCATACAGAGAAGTACATAAATAGTAGGCGTACAGCTTGATTAATTTTCCCCAAATGACCACACCATCTAAGGTAAGAAATAGGACATCACCAGTACCCCAGAAATCTTCCCATGCTCCTTTGTGGTCACTTCACCCCCTTCTCTCCAGAAATAATCCTAGGATCGACCTTAACACTAGATGAGTTTTACCTACGGTGGATCTTAAAATGAAAGTGTATAGCATGTGCTTGTTTTATTTGCATTCTTGATTTGCTGTGCCGTTTGGGAGAGTCATTTGTGTGGTGTGTGGCAGCGGTTTGTTCATTTCCATTGTGGTCCAGGAAGCTGTCGTCTGAAAGTCCACTCCACTGCTGATTTGATTGCCGTGAGTTCTTGGTGATCATGTCTCTTGCTGCCGTGAACATCTTCTGTGTGCTTTTTGATATACAGGTAGATCTTTCTGTTGGTGCAAGGGTAAGGAACCTTTTCTCTGCCAAGGGCCATTGGAGATTTATAACATCATTTGCATAGCATATGAAATTACCAACTTAAAAATTAGCCTGCTATAGAGTGGTTGGATTTTGAGTTCCACCTGTGGTTATCTTGGCAGGGCCAGACCAAATGACTTCGCAGGCCATATAGGGCCCACAGGCTGCTTGTTCCCCAGCCCTGGATAGGGACTGAAACTGCTGGCTTGGTGGGGGTATCTGCTTTAAAAATAGAGTGGCTGAATGAGGCTGGAAGAGAGGCCAAGTTCTAGGCTGGAAGGAGTGTATGTGTGCAGGGGGGGATTTGGAACAAGGGTTTGGTGTGAAAATTCCTTTATCTCCCAGTGAGACTTGGCATATATGAATAAGAGTACTGAATATGAGGGTGAATCATTCCTGGGAGAAGGGACAGGAGGAAGAGGACCAAAGCCCAAAGGAGAGTCGGGGTGCCAGACAGAGGGGCCAGGGAGTGCAGAAGAAGCAGAGAAACCCGCTGAGCTCCCCAGGCCTAGGTGGGAACAGAAGAGGTGATGAAGAGGTTGTGAGAGGGGGAGGGGATGTAGGAGTGCAGCCTCAGAGATGGGACCGTTTTGAGCTGGATATAGGAGAAACGTTAAGGAGACCAGGAAGAAAGGAGGATTTGAGAGCATATAGACAGGTATAGGGAGTGTTTAGTGGGTAGGTTAAGGTAGCAGGGTTGAGAAAGGTAAGGAGCCATTGCTGAGGTCAGAAAGAAGGGGTTACCTGGAAAATTCGGTGGAAATGTCTGGAAATTTATTCCCTTTGTAAAAGGGGATCTGAAAGGAAGCTGTAAAAATGGTTTAAAGTGTGCATGCGTTTGCTATGCTTCCTCCTTTGGGCTTGGTCCCAAGGGATCTGTGTTTGAGCTCTGGTGTGTCTGTTAGGTCTGGGTCCTTGAATAAGCCTTTAATTTCCTTAGATTTCAGTTCTTCCACTTAAGAATATTGACTGCAGTGAAGATGGGCTTCAGGGTCATTCCTGGTGCTCATTGTTAAAAAGATCCATTCATTTGAAAGGCAGAGTGACAGAGTGAAAGAGAGACAGAGACAGAGAGACAGACAGAGACAGAGACAGGTCTTCCATCTACTAGTTCAGTCCCCAAATGGCTGTACCAGCTGGTGCTGGGACAGTCCAAAGCCAGGGCCCTAGAATTCTATCTAGGTCTCTCATGCGGGTGACGGGGGCCCAAGCACTTGGACCATTATCTGCTGATTGGAAGTGGAGCAGCTGGGACTTGAACCAGAACTCCAGTATGGGATGTGGTGTCATACACTGTGCCTCAATACTGGCCTGTCTAGTGCTTGTTTTTAATTAATTTTTCCTACTAGATATCTGTGTGTTTTCCATTGAACTGGAAGTGGTGGTTTTATATACATGTATATTGGGAGCAGTAAGACACATGTTCTCGCTTTACCCAGAGGTGTTGTTGGCCAAGCTCCCTTCTCTCCTGTCCTCCTGTACGGGAAATTTCCTTTCTGATCTAGACTTGCTAACTGTGGGAGTGGGTGTCCTTGAGGCCCAGATGGAAAGGGATTCTGAGCGTCAGGCAGAGGGATGAGAACCAGGCAGGTGCCCTGTTTCTGCTTACTGTAGATTGGCTGCCCTTGCTGGGGAGGCAGAACAGAGAAAAGATGGCGCATGTCCAGGATCAAGGCCTGATGGCAGGGAGTTCTTTGAGTTAAGACTCAAGAACTAAATGGTCTCCAGAGAGAGCTTTAAGCTCTTACCTATTCACTAAAAGTAGGGTCTTATTTTCTTCTATCTTTGTTGTCTGTAAAGTGGGAAAATGTCTGGCTTCTTTTTATCTAGATAGTTATTATGAGTACTTAATATTTTTGTCTTTCTAAAATTCTGAAAGTTTTAAGGTAAACATTTTGAAAGATCAATAAGAAGACCAAGAATGGTGCTACATTGTCTTTCTTTAACCATTTCTCCTTTTCTGCATTTTTTAACAGATTAATTTATCAAAAGGCAGAGTTACATAGGGTGGGGGATGGAGGGAGAGAGAGAGAGAGAGGAAAGAGATCTCAATCTTCCTTCTGCTGGTTCACTCTCCAAATGGCTGCAATGGCTGGGGCTGGGCAAGGTTGAAGCCAAGAGCCAGGAACTCCATCCAGGTCTCCTACATGGGTGGCAGGGGCACGACTGCTTGGCTATCTTCTGCTGCTTTATGGGATGTCAAGCTTTAACCCACAACGTCAGCCCCTCTTCATTTATCTTTCTTTCTTTCTTTTTTTTTTTTTTTCTTTTTGAAGGCTTATTTTATTTATTTGAGAGAGAGAGGGAGAGGGAGAGAGAGGGAAGGAGGGAGGGAAAGAGAGAGAGAGAGAGAGAGAGGGAGAGGGAAGGAGGGAGGGAAAGAGAGAGAGAGAGAGAGAGGGAGAGGGAAGAAGGGAGGGAGAGAGAGGGAGAGGGAAGGAGGGAAGGAGGGAGGGAGGGATGGAGGGAGTGAGGGAGGTCTTCCATCTGCTGGTTCACTCCCCAGATGACTGCAGTGGGCAGAGCTGAGCTGATCCAAAGCCAGGAGCCAGGAGCCTCTTCCGGGTCTCCCACATGGGTGCAGGGGCCCAAGCACTTGGGCCATCTTCTACTGCTTTCCCAGGCCATAGCAGAGAGCTGGATCAGAAGTGGAGCAGCCGGGACTCGAACCTGCGCCCCTATGGGATGCTGGCACTGCAGGTGGTGGCTTTACTCGCTATGCCACAGTGCTGGCCATACCATTGAACCTTTTTATTTATTTATTTGAAGGCCTCAAAGAGAGAGAGGGGAGACAGAGAGGTCTTCCAGACCTGCTGGTTCACTCCTCAACTGGCCTCAATGGCCACGACTGAGCCAGGCCAAAACCAGGAGTCAGGAGCTTCATCAGAGTCTCCCATGTGGGTGGCAAGGGCCCAAACACTTGGGACATTTTTCACTGCTTTTCCTAGGGTATCAGCAGGGAGTTGGATCAGAAGTGGAGTTGCCAGGCTGCGAACTGGCATCCATAAAGGATGTGGCGTCCCAAGCTAGAGCTGCTACATGACAATGTATGTGCCCTGGATCAGGGATGTTAAGAGCCACATCTCGTTCTTATTCTTTTCCTTATTTGTCTTGTCACCTTGGTAAGTGACTCTAATTTAAGATGAGAAGAAGACAAATATCTTTCTGCTTTCCAAGACTGTTAGAAAGATCAAATAAACCAATGCCAGTCAAAGCTAAACACTGTAAGCCCTCCCTTTAGCTGCTTAAAGAGAACCTGTCAGGGAGCAGTTTAACAGTTATGACACCCGCTGCCATGTTGGAGCACCTGGGTTTGATACCAGGCTCCGACTTCTTGCTAATGCAGACCCCAGGAGGCAGCAGTAATGGCTCAGGTAATTGGGTTATTGCCACCCATACACATCTGTTTTAACCTGTGGCCCGCAGTCCTGATACATCCCCTTGGATTCTCACTGCTTATCAGAACCCTCTGGTTTTGCTGTGCTTTTGCCTGACATAGCCCAACCATGGCTGTTGGGCATTTGGGAAGTGAATCAGTGGGTGAGAAGTCTCTTTCTGCTTCTTAAATAAGTAAAGAAGTGAACAAATGAATGAGTGAGAAAATGAATAAAATTAAAAAAAAAATTTTAAAAAGAATGAATAAAATTTAAAAATGTCAGTGATCCATTAGCCCTGAAATCTGAAAAGTAAATCTGAGCATATATACAGGTACATTTAAAAATAGGTCTATGAAGATCCTGGAAAGTTAAGTGACTCCAGATGTGGAGTCAGCCTGCCATGTTTTGCCTTTCCCAACCTGTGTGTGCAGTGATTGTTGACGTTCAGGTCAGGGGCAGCTTGGGCCTGGTGCAGCGTGCAGGTATGAATGTGAACGGTGGTGTTCCACATCGTGCTGGGCTGTGTCTGCTTACCTTTGCTTCTAGTCTTGAGCCATACAGTAAATCCTTAATCAGTCCTTAATCAAAGCCACACGGATGGCATGCAGGACTGTAAAGTACTTTGACGTGGCCATGAAGGCTAGATACACATGGTGGCGCTTTTTAAAAAGCGCTTGCAAATGCTCTGACCAGGTGTTTTCCATCAAGGGGTCTGGCGGGTATTTTCAGATGAAGGAAGGACAGCTCACTCAGGGGAGGCTCAGCTAGTTGACCAGCTACCCATATCACTTCTGCATGGCTTCTTAGGCTCCTACTTGTTTTCCTGGTTCATTTCATGTCATAGACGTCCTGGTTTGCCAGGTATGAGGTGGAGACAGGGTGTGGTCGTCTTGTTTCCTCAAGTTGCTCCTGTCTGTGGCCCTCATGGAGCTGCACAGGTTGTGTTCCAGGGCTACCCTTTGAGTTGTGAGGTTGGACTTCACCTGGTTTTTTTTTTTTTTTTTTAAAGATTATTTATTTGCAATTCAGAGTTAACACAGTGAGAGAAGGAGAGGCAGAGAGAGAGAGAGAGAGAGGTCTTCCATCCACTGGTTCGCTCTGCAATTGGCCGCAATGGCTGGAGCTACGCCTATCTGAAGCCAGGAGCCAGGAGCTTCTTCCAGGTCTCCCATGTGAGTGCAGAGTCCCAAGGGCTTGGGCCATCTTGTACTGCTTTCCCAGGCCACAGCAGAGAGCTGGATTGGAAGTGGAGCAGCCAGGACTCAAATCGGCACCCATATGGGATGCGGCACTGCAGGTGGTTGGCTTTATCTGCTGTGCCACAGTGCCAGCCCCTCATCTGTTTTTTTAAGCTATGGTTTTTGTGGCTCAAGAGTTCAGCTTAGGTGCAGAACTTTCACTGCATGCTACACCCAATGTTTTCCCTTGGGCAAGTTTCTTTTATGGTTTTGGAACTTTGGGATTTCCTGTGGCTCACCAATTGAAGGAAACTGATCCAAGAAGATAATAGCATTATTTCTTTCCCCATCTCATCCTGACCCAAGTTTGAAGTTCAGTGAGGCAGTCACTAGCAAAGCCAAAGGCTTCTGGGAAGTAGTGAGAATCTGAGTGGGTATGTCAGGGATCTGGGGCCACAGGTTGAAAATGGATATGTATGGGAAGGTTCATGTGTTGGAGAGTGTAGTGCATGGATTTTGTGTGAAATAGAATTGTAAGGCTCTTGAGAAAGTAACCCAGGCATGGGCTCTACGTGGTTGCTCTTGCCTTCCCACTTTGTGCCCACCACTACCGAGTTAGAGGTTGCTGTTAGCCTGTTTGACAGCCCTACTTCTGCAAATGCTACAGTGCCCTGAGGGTCAGACTTAATGAGCTCAGTTTTCAGTCTCTTACATAGGGAGGCTGCAAATGTTACTTTCCTGACGCTCAGTGTATAAACCTGTCACCTTTGGAGCCACTAAACTTATTTTTGGTGGTAGCAAACCATTTTCTGGGATCACGTGCTCCAATGATCAAGTTTTCTAGGATGCAAAAGGATCTGATCCTACCCTGACCTTGAACAACTCATGTCCTTGGATCTTGGTTTTTCTCTAAAACAGATTCAACTTGCATGGTCTGGAAGAGCCTTCTCTACCAGCCTCAGGCTTTAAGATCTTGGCCCATTTTGTCCTCAGATTGTCCTGCCAGGTGTCTCCCCAGTACTGTGCTACCTGGTATGCTGGCTTTGTTAGGTTCAGTAGGGCCCAGTGGTGAAAGTTGATGGGTTAAAACCCACTAGTTAGGACTACTAGGAAACTAAGGGAGTCTAGGCTTACGGTTTCACCATTCTGGTGGAAATGAACACTGGTGTGTGTGTTTCTGAAGAATAGTTGCATGAAGTAATCTCATTGTCTGGATTTCTTTTGTACCATAGCCTACTCATGAAGGTTACTTCTCTTGTTTGGATATCTGGACGCTCTTTTTGGACTATCTGACAAGTAAAATTAAAAGTCGTCTGGGAGACAAGGAAGCAGTTCTCAACAGGTAAACCCCAGAAACACTGATGACTAGAGATAGTCATTGTCACCACTTACTCTTGTGGCCTGAAAGGGCAGCCTGCAGTGCGACCAGACCTGTCCAGTGAGACTGGGCCACGGGCGCTGTCTGGGCAGTGATACTACTGAGTATCTTCTTTGTTTTTGTCTTTTAAATATCCTATTTTCTTAACTTTTTTTCTGATTAAAAAAGTAATATATATTGTTAACCTTTAAAGTGTGATATTGCTTTTGTGGTATGTTACTTTTTTTAAAGGCCCTTATTTTAGAGATACAAATAAGTACCTACATTTATTGGATGAAATGATGTGACATCTGGGGTTTGCTTAAAATAACCCACTGGGGTAGGAAGGGAAGTGGTGGTGTGTAGAAGAGGCAGAGCTGGCCCTGGCTTGATCATGATATGAAAGTTGCCTGCTAGGAACTGGGCTTACTGTGTTCTTATTCTTTTCGTATGTGTTTGAAAACTTCCTAAATAAATTAGTAAATACCTGTCATGAAAAAATATATTTATTGTTAAAACTAAGAAAAGATGCATAGGAAGATGTAAAGAATTTAACCTATAATCACACACTTTTGAGATAATCTCTTGTACTTTTTATTGTATTTTTTAAATTATTATTTATTTGACAGAGTTAGACAGTGAGAGAGAGAAAGAAAGGTCTTCCTTCCGTTGGTTCACCCCCCCAAATGGCTGCTATAGCCGGAGCTGTGCCGATCTGAAGCCAGGAGCCAGGTGCTTCCTCCTGGTCTCCCACGTGGGTGCAGGACCCAAGCACTTGGGCCATCCTCCACTGCCTTCCCGGGCCACAGCAGGGAACTGGACTGGAAGAGGAGCAACCGGGACAGAATCTGGCGCCCATATGGGATGCCGGTGCTGCAGGGTTTGGATTAACCAAGTGAGCCATGGTGCCAGCCCCTATTGTATTTTTTTAATACAGAAAATGGGGAGAGATTTGGTTACCCCTTGTGTTTCTGAAGTCCATTTTTCTTGCTTGCAGGCAGAAAATATGTTTCCTGTACAATATGATCTTAGTACTCCCTGTGTGTTGACAAGAGGGAGGGGAAATTGGAGATTCAGCATGCTAGGAAAATAAAGGAAGGATCCACTTAGGGAGGAAGTAAAATGGCTGCTTTTCTTAGTGAGACACATACATCATATCCTCAGGATGCGGGCAGTTAGGAAGGAGACAAAACGCTGTCTTTTACGTTGTAGGTGCAGAGTGGTTTCCATGTAAATTAAACCCAGCTCTTGGATTTGTAGTATACATGTGCAGTAAGAGTCGGAGAGTACTAAGTAATCTAGCCCAAGGCACTTTATTGTACTTAAGAGGGTCTGCAGATCTTACTCAGTTTGGGCATGATTCTTGCTTCTTTGCACAGTATGTGTGTATGTATGTATGTATTTTTAAAGAGTTATTTATTTGAAAGGCAGAGGTACAGAGAAAAAGAGAGAGGGAAATCCTCTATCTCCTGGTTCATTTCCTGAATGTCCACGATGGAAGGGGCAAGGCCAGTCTGAAGCCGGGAGACCAGGATTCCATCTGAGCCTCCCACGTGAGTGCAGGGGCCCAAGCACTAAGGCCATCCTCCACTGCTTTCCCAGGTGCATTAGCAGGGAACTGGACCTAAAGTGGAGCAGCTGGGACCTGAACCAGGGCTCATCTGGGATGCTGGTGTTGCAGGTGGTGGCTTAACATATTGCACCACACTGCTGGCCCAGCACAATATTTGTAAGAGCAGTCAGATTAAGTGGTCACTGTGTGTGAGACATGTTCAATGGGTGAGGGGGTTAGAATAGTGTGGATGCCATCACTGCATTTCAGGCAGCCCTTGGTCTGAATTCTGTGTTTGTAGCTTCTGTGTAGCCACTGAGATCTTCTGTGTTGTCATTTGTAAAAAGGGGAGGATGATAATAATTGTTGAGACATTCAATGAAATAATGAAATAGCATATTTAGACCACTTGGCACATTGCAAGTGCTCAGTCTTTGGTGGTGGAGTTAGTGAACACTGTTGCCCCAGAAATGTGCCGAATGGAGTGGGCTGGAGATGAGAGACTCCCCCTGGGAGAGAGATCAGACGCACATCTACAGCCGTTTCAAAGCTGTGGTTCTGTGACTTGTTAAGATAAAGAGATATTTGCATTGCAAATTTAAGCATGTTTTTGGGTGCTAGTTCTCAAACATTATTTTTGTGATTGCAGAATAGCTTCCCAGTTGCTATGGTTTCCGTTCACATGTGCTTAATGCTAGCATTCTGTGTTCCTGTATCAGATACTGTTACACAATAGTAGATCCTGTTTTTGGTGAAGTGGCCAACTTAAGCAATTTTGTTTTTGAATGAGTTGTTGACTAAAAGGTACTTCCACCCATATATTTTTCTTGTATGCTGAACAGGTATGTCTTTTACTCCTGTGTTTGTGCCTGATTTTTCTATATTTAGTAGTAAATACATATAGCTTCCAGATTGCACAGGCTTGTTGAGAGAATCAACTGAAGAAATGATTACTATGAAAATGCTTTTTAAAGCACTGTAGGAATGGGAGGTGTGAAGAATATAGTTCCATTGAGAAAATCCGCAGCAGCAGCCTGTTAGTATGAAGTGCACACTAGTGCAGACCACTGTGCCAGTAGAACTGGCAGTAGTCTAGAGAGATGAGACGCCTTGTCTGCTTCTGCTCAAGTCATATGCTGGTCACATTTCCCCTGGCAAGGGAGACATGCTAATACCGCTCCTGTCGGGTGGTCAGGATTTAAGGAAGCCCTGTATCTAAAATCCCTGGCTCAGTGTCTGCCTGTCGCCGTGGTGATACCAGCAGCAGTAAGTAATAGAAATTATTGTCCCCTGGCTGTGCAGGAGTTAAGGGACAAGGCCTGTGGACAGTTAAAAGGCCAGTAGCCACTTGCAGGTGCTGGCCTGCTTGCCCAGGCATCTGTTCTGCTGCCGTGGTTTTTGTTAGTGGTGCAGGCTGAACTGCTTTAAACACGATGATTGTTTCCCACTGATCATTTGACTATCATTCTAAATGAGACTTTGAAATTTTTCTCACTAGGTTTTTTTTAAGCATATACTTCTGTATAACAGTTTTATACCTTTAGTAAGCAAAGTAAAAAACTCTTCAGAGTTGGTTTGTGGTTTTTGCTGTTACGGGGTGACCAGCATGTGAACTGCTTGTCCTGTCAGGCACTCCCTAGTAGTCTAGGGAAGGAGATTGCAAAAATGTGGGTGTCAGTCCACTGGGCTGCACAGAGGAAATATTTGAGCTTCAGCTTATAATAAATTTTTAGGGGGCTGGCGTGGCACAATAGGTTAAGCTGCTGCTGGCAAAGCCGGCATCCTGTATTGGAATGCCAGTTTGAGCCTCGGGTGTTACGCTTCCTTTTTTTATTTTTTTATTTGACAGGTAGAGTTATAGACAGTGAGGGAGAGACAGACAGAGAGAAAGGTCTTCCTTCCATTGGCTCACTCCCCAAATGGCCGCTGCGGCCAGTGCTGTGCCATTCCGAAGCCAGGAGCCAGGTGCCTCTTCCTGGTCTCCCATGTGGGTGCAGGGGCCCAAGCACTCGGGCCATCCTCCACTGCCTTCCTTCCCAGGCCACAGCAGAGAGCTGGACTCGAAGAGGAGCAACTGGGACTCGAACTGCCGCCCATATGGGATGCTGGCGCTGCAGGCTTTGGATTAACCAAGTGAGCCATGGCACAGGCCCCATGTTATACTTCTGATCGAGCTCCCTACTGGTGCACCTTGGGTCCCTGACACCCATGTGGAAGAACTGGATGGAGTTCCAGAGTCTTGGCTTCAGCCTGGCCTACCCCCGCCATTGCTATTTGGGGAAGGAAACAGTGGATGGAACCCCCTCCCCCCCCTTTACCCTTTCTCTCTCTCTCTTTTTCTCTATCTCTCTGTCCCTCTCTCTACTTTTCAAATAAATAAATCTTTATCATGTATTTTGGGTCACCCTTATGTTACATATGTATGTAGATGTGCTCAAACCTTTTTTAAATATGTGTGTGAGAGTGTACAAGTGAGAGAGAGAGCAGTGCTTCCATTGAGCTTGTTCCCCAGAAGCCCACAGTGGCTGGGCCAACCTGATGCCAGGGGCTGGGAACCCGCTGCAGATCACCCACAGGAGTGTAAGGACCCAGTCACTCGGCTTTCCCGCTGCCTCCCAGGGTGCTCTTCAGTAGGAAGCTGGAATTGGGAGCAGAGCTGGGTGGGACTCAGCCCCGGGCACTCTGCTGTGGAATGCAGGCTCCCAAGCAGCAACTTCACTGCTGGCCAAACACCTGTTCCTCAAAAGCTTTTAAATGAAAGTGTTGAAAGCTTGACAATCACCCCAGTATATCAGAGAAGTTCTGTTTTGCCACAGCAACTGGTAAAGAGTGCTGGCTGCTGGTGGTGATGTTTATTTTAGCTGAGAGCTTGTAGAGGTGATCAGAGGGCTTCCAACTAGTGACATCTATCTGGGAGAAGATGGAATGCTTTGGGAGTCAGTGTTTGTCTCTTAAGCTGTAATTTCAGAAGCAACTGATCTTGCAGGAAGCAGTCAAAAATGTTTTCTTGGTGTCTTAATTGGGAAACGTAGGTGTGGTTAAGTCACAGAGGCAGCACTCAGTTCCTGTCCCTTGTGGTTTATAGGTTTTGCATCATTCATCACAACAAAGTGGTAGGCATTGTAGGCTACAGATTTAGAAGCACAAATGTACATGGGTTATTCTTGGTTATAGGAACTTGGAAGTCGTTAACTCTGTTCCTGCTCAGTTGAGAGTGTTCCAGCGTTTCTTGACCAGAACTATAGAGAATTGCAGTTGTGGTGTTATTGGGGTGAGCCTTCTGTCATGTACCCTGCTGAGCAGAAGTACTGGGGGGCTAGATTGTCCTGATTGCCATTTTGAGGTGGTAGCAAGGCCTGGATTTCAGTTTTCCTTTTCCCCATTCCTATCTGGGGATGGTTGTGCCTTCCTCTTAAGCTGTTGAGAAAATGGA